GGAACCTGTCCCAGCTCTGAGATGGCAGCCCACATGTGTGTGGTGGGGATGTGGCTCAGGTGGGAGGGTGAATGGGGCTGGTGTGAGCTTGAGGCCCTCCTTGCTGAGGATCCACAGGGGGAACCTGTGGGGGGAACCACAGCAGCTCTTCTGTCCAAAGCGTGTCTTGAAGTTGGTCTTTTGCAGGGGTGGGACCAGGAGGAGGCAGGCTGACAAGGACACAGCACGGAAGCCTGAGGAAGCTCTGGAATCCAATGCTTGAGCGAAGTTTGGTGGCCTCAGTCTACACAAAAATGAAACCCCTGCTTGCAGATGGAGATCTGTCCTCTCTTCTGAGCAAGGGAGAGCTCTTCAGCCCCTTGCTCTCAAAGTTGGCCCCTCAGCTGCTTCTGCGTCTCCTGTGAGCAGCCACATCAGACATGTACCAAGTGCTATTTCTGCAAACCGCAGCACGGCCACACTGGTCCGTCCTGTCTGCTCACAGCTCTGCAATCCCACCATGGGACACCTGCTCCCTGCCCCAAGCTCACCCCAGCCAGGACTGTGTGTGCCCGTCCTGGGAGCAGCCCGGTCCCACAGGCAGTGCTGACAACAGGAGCTCTGCTGAGGAGTGCTGAGGTGGCTCCTTCAAAGGTCACCCTGGTGATTAGGAGCACAGGAAAGGTTCAGATGTGTGACACAGCTGTGGCTGTGAGAAGAGGGGAAGTATGCATCATGCTGTGACCGCTGTTACACGAGCTCAGGAAACCAGAGCCTGGGGAAGGTGGACAGGCTCAGGTGCTCTATGGAACGAGGACCTCACACCCAGCACTGATCCCATGCAAGCAGCTGATAGAGATAAAAACCAGGGAGTGAAGATGTTCAGCCACCAGAGTCAGGCAAGCAAGCAGCTCTGCTCCTTCACTGCTCTGAGGAAGGCAACACCTGGCTAGAAGTGTCTGAATGTGCAGTGCCTGGGCTCCAGCCAATCCAGCACTGGTGTCACCAAAGCTGCACATCCTTGGCTGTCTTATCATCCTCTGTTAGAGAAAGTGAGCCCTGCTGAGGGCCACAGTGGTTCCCATAGCTAAGTGGCTAAAGTGGGTGAGATGAGACCTCTCACCTCCAGTTAGGTAAATTGAGTCCCACCAGCTGTTCTTGAACAAACTTGGTAAATAATGGGAATATTTTAATCTGCAAGAAGTAGTCCCCAGAGACAATTTTAAATCATATCAATGTATATTAGAGATAGGAGCTACCTACAGATCCTTAAGTGATGATCACATGAAATGCCCCTGGTCATGAAGAAATGGGCTTTTAGAAGGAATCTTTGCACCAAGTCTGCACAGGATTGCCCTGCAAGGCAGACTTGTCCTCACTGCCAGATGGTGAAGATATGCCAAGGTTTATGTTCCCACAGCACACACCTCTGGAACAGAGTGGGCTCCTTCAATCAGGACTCAATTCTCCAAATTCTTTTAGTGGAAGATCAGATATAAACATCTACTGATTTTTTTTTTTCAGTGGCAGCATATCTCTGCAGCTTTCTGGTCTTGTCTCCACAGAGAGACACTGATCTCTGGCTTCTCTGAGTTCCCAGAGATTAAAAAGAGCAGGATAGATCATGAGGAGGAACTCCTGGTGGCAAAAAAATTTAACAGCACAGAGCTGCAGTAGCACAGTCTGTAGCTTCTGAGTCTACTTCCAGCCTGGCAACCACAGCACCTTCCCAACACCGAGCACCTGTAGTGTGCTCAACCCTCAGCATTAACCAGCCATGAGTCATGCTCTAAATAATGCTGAGATGTGGTTTAGAGCCCAAGTTTGTTTCTTTAGAGAATACACACTGGTCTCCTTTATGTTTTCCTACCTAAAGTGACTAGAAACGTCTCCTTTTCAGGCCTCCTTCTCACACTGTCATGCCCTTTCGGTGCCAAGGGTTATCAGGAAATGAGTCAGGAGTCTCCAGCAGTTCACAAGGGCACTAGGTGCCCTGCTTGGTGCACCTGCAGTGCTCTGCTGGAGCCGCTCACGGGGCGACGCTCCCTGGCTTTCCTAGAAATTGGGACCTCATTTGCCTGCCAGTGCCAGCTCCCCAGCTCCCCCAGCACATGCTGAGATGTTAATGTCTTCTCTGTGCCGGGGGCTGCAGCTGTGCAAGGCTCCTGCCCATGGATGGTGCAGAGAGGTGGAGTGCCGTGAGCTGTGGAGCTGCTGCTGCTGCTGCTGGGCAGGAGGAGCTCCGGGTGTGCCAGCACAGTGTGCCTGGTGAGGCTGGGCTGGGAGGGCTCCTGATGGGGCAGGACACGGCCTCTTCCAGCTGTTTTACCTCCAGCCATGGTAGAAAATCCAGGGTGGGGCTGGGCCAGCTGCAGTCGCTGAAGTTGTGTGTGTGGGCTGGATGCTGATGGCACAGCTGCTGTCAGAAGCTCCCGCAGGAGCAAATACTGTCTGTGCTGGTCTCTGGTGAGGCTGCCTGCTGTAGCAGCTCTCTGAGAAGTGCTCCCTCCCTGCCAGCTTTCCTCCAGCTGCGGCAGCATCGCCTCATCAGCACGGCGGCTGCTGATGCCCCAGCGGGCACCTACTGCCACTGCAAAAAGGGGCTGCTGAGGTGCTCTCAGCTCCAGGTTATCAGACACGCCAGTCCTCAGCCCATCAGCCCCCACCCACCCGCTGTGCATAGCAGAGGTTCCCAGTGCCCTTCACTGGGAATGATTTGTCGGTCCTGCAAGCTGCTCCTCTGAGGGAGGTGGTTCTGCTGATCACAGAAACACTTCCCGAGGCTCAGTGGTCCCTCATGTCCCACCCCTCCAGCCCTAATATGGGCACATGGAAGAAGAGCAGCGAGGCACAGGGGACCCCCAAAATCTCAGAGGAATGTGGTGTCCTAGTGCAGAGCATCCCATCCCCGTGAGCAGGTTTGGTGTTGCTGTGTGAAGCTGCTCAGACACCAGTTTGTCCCCAAATCCCGCACACCCTCCTCGCCCGCTGCCTCCCCCTTGCTGACACGAGAGACATGATTCCTGGTACCCCTGATAAGGCTCTTGCAGATATTGGGGAAGAAAGGAGTGGGAATAGCACTTCCTCCTCCTCCTCCTCTCTCAGTTTCTTCATGGCTGAAAGGTCAGTGATCTGCTTTCTGTGATCAGGTAGGTTGTGGCTTCCTGGCATTCTCATGGGAACCAGGGCTTCCAGGGCAAACATCAGCTGCCCCAGCACCAGGGAGGACCCAGCTGGAGCTGGGTCTGTCACCACAAGGTCTCCAGCAGCTTCAGCTCTGTGCTGGAGGCTGCAACGTGCCCGTCTGTGGCTTTGCAAATCTCTTTCCTCCTCTGCAAAACAGCGCGGTGCAAAGCACTGAAGTGCAAAGCTGGAGGGTTTATTACAGCAGGTGGTGGGGAAAGGCTTAAAACCTAAAATTCAGCTAAAATCTGTGCTCTGTGGGTCACCCCCCACCTTCCAACCTGCCCCCAGCACAGCCTGCTTACACACTGTTGGGGACAGACAAATTTCCTGAGGTGCCAGCCAGATGCCTGAAGACTGAGAGAAAGCTAAACCAAAATAAACCTGATGTAGCTGGGTGCTTTAATTTGCAGGAAGTGCTGTGCAGCAGCAGGCTGGTTCCCAGCTGAATCTTTCTTGCTGCATCAAGCATAAATTCATCAGGTATTCCATTTCCTGGGAAAAAAAAAAATAAAGCAGAATAATTCACTTGGAAATAAAGAGTGGAGCTATTTTTCCCTCTGACATGGTGAATGCAATTACCCAAGGCATGGGAGGCTGAGATAACTCACTTATTCAGCCCCCACTCTCCAAAGAAACCATCATCATTCTGTCAGAAAAGGCTTTAAACTCAAATTCACATCCTGAATGCTAAAACATCACCACATACAGAAGCCATCCTTATGATTTCCATGCACCAGCTGCTGCATCACAAGGAAAACACACTCATAGGCCAGAATTTATTATTGTCAAGGCCATACACACAGTGCAAGCTCCCTGTGTCTGCTGACCCTTTTCCCAATGCTGTTGGTATCTCCTTGTCCTTCAGGAGCAATTCCTAGTGAAGCAAAGCCCACTGGCACTCTGTTAGTACTGTGTGAGCCATGCTGGGGCTGGGAAAATGTGCATGGGGGTTGAGAGTCTCAAGCTGTGTCTGTTTGGAGAGCTCAGTGCAGGCAAGCCATAAGCCTGTGATTGCCCCCAAATTTAATTCCATTTAGGCAGCACTCTCCCACCTCTTCTGCCATTACATAATGGGGAGTGAAGTAATGACTTTAAGCAATGCTGTTTGAGTGGCAGCAGTCCAATCCTGGACTGTATTTTTTTTTTTAATGGTGGGGGGAGAGCAGGTTGGCAGAGGGGAGGAAGCATCCGTTTGGTTTGTCTGCAATCCCTGTTTCGCTTTGGGAGCTTTAGAGGACAGGCACATTCTTCCATCTCCGCTAATCCTCCTCTGATACAGAGGATTTTCCTGCCATTAAATGATAGCTTGTGAGAAAAAAATGCCAACTTTTCAGAGACTGGCTCGTGTGGCTAAGGGCAGCCTTATGAGCAGGAGGGAGGACACAGCCACTGCCTGGCCAGGTAAGCCACACGTCTGGGTGATTTCTGTTGGGAATTTTGGTTTCCACTCTTTGATGGTTATGCTCCTCTGTACCAGCACCTGTTTCCTGGGGGTAGAGCCAGTCTCTTACTGTTGGTGATCCTTTCCCACCTCAGATGACAGGAATCTGCCTTTGGCTTGGCTTCTGGGAAGGACGTGGATGAGCTCCTGAAAAGCAGTGGCACAAAGCTGCAGGATTCCCTGAGAAGGTCAGTGGTGGAAGAAAGATCCTCACCAGGAAGGTGCTGGGGATTTCTTCAGTTTGAAAGTGTGTGAGAGAAGAGCATTTTCCTTCATCTTCCTTTCTAAACATAGATCTTTTTGTGGAAAAATGATGCAGGGAAATTACAGAGGATGAAACCCATCTCTAGTATTCCTGTGTGCTTTTAGATCCCTCAAGTTTGCTTGCCAGACCTGAAATGCCTGAAAATAATCAAGGTAATGTTTGCCATCATTCTAAATGGTGAGTATACTCTTATTCTGCATTATCCAGTAGTGGATTAGACAGATCATTTGGAAAGGTGGCGATTAAATATTCAATTATCGCAATCATTGTCTCTTTACCCTTCTTAAGACTCTTTCTTTTTTGTTTCTTTTCCTTTGGTCTCTCACTCTGTCTTCCATATACTGAGTTAGTGTAGTATTTAAAAGAGCAAAAGATATCATCCATGGGAGGAATTTTTTTTATTCTTTAATGTCATAAATATTTTTGACCTTACTGCTCTATTTCACCCTTTTGCTCAAACACGTCGTATTTGAGTGCTCAAATGTGTCACTGAGTCGCTGAAAGTTTCCAGCTGCTGCCCTGTCTGTGAACATCCTTTTTTAGGGAAGGGGAAGGAATAAGGTGGGAAAGATGGGAATGTTTCAGGCTACACTGACCAGAGGAGATCTTGTCAACGGGAAGAGCTGATCTCTTTTGCCTTGAGCAACAGCTCTCCTGAGGGTTTGGTAGGGTTCAGGTGGAGGATTTTTTTCAACTTCCTTTCCAGGATTGCCCACAAAAGCTGCATTGCTGAGGGGTTTCCCTGAGCTACTGTTGCTGGGGGGATATTTTCTCATTGAATGGTCCTCACCCTCTTGCTTTCCACATCCAGCACGTTGCAAGGGTGCACTTGTAAATTGAGATCTTAGAAGTCTGCTATGAATTGCCACAAGCAGAAGACCCAGATTTGGCACTAGTGTATAAGGAAAACAGGATGGATGTGTCTTGGGGGCAGACATTTCCTTTATTGAGTGATTAGGGAATAAGCAGGGGGGGAAGGAGGGGATTTGATTATCAGCAGGCTCATTCCTACACTGCCCACCATGTGTACAGCAGTGTGGGTGGAGGTCTGCTCTGAAGGCCACAGATGTGACTGAGCTTGGGGCAGCTGGAGCTGAGCATGGAGCTTGCTCAGGACAGCCTCACCTATAGCTCAGCCTATGCACAAATGCCCCTCTGGATGTCACCCTGAACCCACACAAGGCTCCCTACCAGCAGCAACACTTGCATCCATCATTTTCCAGACAACCAACTGCAGTCAGGCATTTGGGAACAGGCAAATCCTTAATCTGTCTGGCCCTCAGTTTATGTAACTGCCTAGCAAAAACAACATATGCCCCTGTTGGCACGCAGAGGATGGACTGGTGCAGAGGGGAGCAAACGAAGCAGCCCCTGGGCAGGCTGCACAAAGAAAGAGCAATCTGAGATCAGCATATTGTTCCCCTTCTTGTCCTTAGACTCCAGCTGTTGTCAGGGGGACTGGAGGGGACTTTCCTATAGCTGTGGCTGTTAGATAAGGGCATGGGAAAGAGAGGAAGAGCAGACAAACAAAATGACAAGCTGTCTAAAATCCTTTCTACCTCCCAGAGTCCTTCACTATCATTTATCCTTGAAGTGATGTTGTTCTGCTAATTCTGCAGTCACAATAGTGTGCCCCGTCATCATGAGACTTGAATTTTGATGAAGAGGCCACAGCTCATCCTTTTGTGATGCTCTCTCTGTGCATCTAAATACCTTTCCTACATGCAATAACCAGAATGGTTTGAACTGACCCAGGCTCCAGGGCAGCTCCTGGGTTGATGCCCTTCAGCAGGGACCTGACCAACAACTGGTTTTGCAAGTCTCCTTTACACAGGCAGTGCAAACTCCTAAATACGGTCCCATGCATGTTGTCTTTAGAAAGGATGGAAGAAAAGCAGAGCAATTGTAGCCCAAACTGTTGTTTGTCCTGTACATTAAAGCCTTAAGGCCCGCAAAAATAAAACTTGATGCTTGCTGAAGCTGATTCTTCCAGGCATATTACCTCACAAGTCTGTCTTATTGAAAATGCCCATGGGAATACAGCTGTGGTGGGCAATCCCTGTGCTGCAAACCACAGGGAGAGGCAGCCCAGCTGTTGGCAGCTTCCCCCTCTAGACACTCAGCAGGAATATGGAGGAAACCCCCCTGATCCCAGCAGCACAGTAATAGAGGTGTCTGTTTGGGAAAGCTGTTGGTATCTCATGTTTTGCTGGAAAAAAAGAAGAAAAGGATTATGTTTGTATGGGAGCTAATAAACTGCAGCAGAAAACCAGTCAGCAGCAATAGCACCACTTTGTGCTTGTGACTGCATGGAGATCTTCGGTGTGGCTGCTCATTTTGTTGAGGAGGAGGTAGGATGTGTCTGGGAGAGCAATTAAAAAAACTGCCTTCAGTTCTTCCTCTCTAAAGAGTTTATTTTCATGGAATCAGGAAAAGGATTGTGCTGTAAGGGACCCAAAAGGGATCATCTCATTCCAAGCCCCCTGCCATGAGCAGGGACATCTTCTACTATCCCAGATTTCTCAGAGGTTCATCCAACCTGGCCTTGAACACAGGCAGGGTTGGGGCATCCACAGCTTCTCTGGGTACCCTGTGCCAGGGCCTCACCACCCTCACAGTGAAGAGTTTCTTCCATATATCTAACCTAAATTTCCTCTCTTTCAGAGGGGAAAACCATTTTGCACTAAAAAAACCAAACCACTTTTCAGATTTTTTTTTTGACTGGATGTTTTTTCTCTGCAAAAAAGCATGTCTGTGGAGGCTGATGTCTCCTTTTGTTCCTTTTGGTTCTTCTCTCATTTCTCCCAAGAGCTGCCTTCTCTTCCTTGTTGTTCACCCACCTGTGTGGGACTAACCTGGGAGGAAAGAACAGCCTTGCACCTCCCACGTCAGGCTGATAAAGGACAGAGTGGCTGCTCCCATCAAACAAATGACATTATGGTGACTGTCTCAAGAACTGGCAAAGCAGCAAAAACTGTGCTGGAGATGCAGAGTTTCTCATCTATGATGAGATGACAAAGCCAGCATTTGAACAATATCTCTCAGTTTGTTTTTACTCATGCTGTTGTACCAGTACACAGTAGGAATGTGTTTTCAAACACTTCATTGCATCTCCTTGAGAGCTGAGTTCCCCTTCCAGTGCTGCACCAGCTCATGGCTCTGGTGGAGAAACAGTAGGTTGAAATAAAAGGGAAGGGAAAGGAAAGGAAAGGAAAGGAAAGGAAAGGAAAGGAAAGGAAAGGAAAGGAAAGGAAAGGAAAGGAAAGGAAAGGAAAGGAAAGGAAAGGAAAGGAAAGGAAAAGGAAAGGGGAAGGGAAAGGGGAAGGGAAAGGGGAAGGGAAAGGGGAAGGGAAAGGGGAAGGGAAAGGGGAAGGGAAAGGGGAAGGGAAAGGGGAAGGGAAAGGGGAAGGGAAAGGGGAAGGGAAAGGGGAAGGGAAAGGGGAAGGGAAAGGGGAAGGGAAAGGGGAAGGGAAAGGGGAAGGGAAAGGGGAAGGGAAAGGGGAAGGGAAAGGGGAAGGGAAAGGGGAAGGGAAAGGGGAAGGGAAAGGGGAAGGGAAAGGGGAAGGAAAAGGGGAAGGGAAAGGGGAAGGGAAAGGGGAAGGGAAAGGGGAAGGGAAAGGGAAAGGAAAGGAAAAGGAAAGGAAAAGGAAAGGAAAGAAGGATGAATTTGACACACTTTGGGCTATTAATTGATCTCCCCTGCCCATTGGCAGACTCAGCATACACTGCCCTCCCGTTTTCCAGACCCAGGAATGCTGTAACCCACCCAGAGCTGCTGGCATTCAATTCATTTCTGCCTGGTCCTTGGCCAAACCATGTACCTATCGGGCAGCAGAGAGACCCCAACAGAGACACTTGAGAAATACTGAATTCTAGGTGAGCCCCCTCTTGGGGACAGGAATTAATCAGAGATTATGTTCTAGGTGACATGTATTCTCAGCAGGTTTAGAAACCCCGGAAGATTTGTAGGGATTTTACACAAGAGCTCCTCAGTCAGCACTGGTGTACAGGTGGCAATTAGCTTGGCTAGAGGGGATGAAAAGACAGTGTAATTTCTTTTTGCTGCTGTGACTAATTTGCTAATGATGCATTCTTTTCTCTCCTGCCCCGCCTCTGTGGGGATGGCAGTGATCCTTTGGGTCCCACAGGTCCATGGGGTGTGGGCCTGTGTGCGCTCCTGCCCTCCCAGCTGTGTGTGCACGCCGGAGAGGAGCTGCTCCGTGCTCTGTGACCGTGCTGGGCTGGGGCAGATCCCCAGCGAGTTCCCCTGCGAAGCCTCTTCCATCAACCTGGATAAAAACAGCATCAAGTTCCTGTCCGAGAGGGCCTTTGGGACACTGCCTTCCCTCAAGTCCCTGTCTCTCAACCACAACAACATCTCCTTCATCACTCCAGGGGCGTTCAAGGGGCTGCCCAGCCTGACGGAGCTGAAGATGGCCCACAACGAGTACATTCGCTATCTCCACACTCGGACCTTCACCGCGCTCCGGCGCCTCGTGAGGCTGGACCTGGCTGACTGCAACCTCTTCAACATCCCAGACAGGATCTTCATCGAGCTGCCTGCTCTGCAGGAGCTGTTCTGCTTCCAGAACAACTTCCGAAGGATCCCAGGTGCCATCAGGGGCATGGAGAACTTGACCCATGTGTACCTGGAGAGAAATAGGATCGAAGCGGTGGCCTATAACTCCCTGCAGGGCCTGACTAAGCTGAAATACCTGAATCTGCAGGACAACAAGATAAATGTCATCCATGAGCGAGCTTTTCAGGGCTGTCAGAGGATGGAGTACCTGTACCTGAATGACAACTTGATCAGTGAGCTTCCAGAAAACTCCTTTGATGGCCTGAGGCGCCTGAAGATGCTCAACCTGGGGGGGAATTTTCTCAGGAACATTTCCAACACCTGGTTCCGGGACTTGGGGGAGCTGGAGTTCCTCTACCTGGACCGCAACAGGATCAGCTACATCGAGGAAGGGGCTTTTGAGAACCTCACCAGCCTGGTGGCGCTGCACTTGAACAGCAACAACTTGACCACGCTGCCCTTCTCGGTGTTCGAGCCCGTGTACTTCCTGGGGCGCCTGTACCTCTTCCGCAACCCCTGGGAGTGCGACTGCCGCATCGAGTGGCTCAAGGAGTGGATGGAGAACTACAGGCTCGTCAGGGATATTCCGTGTGCCTCCCCCTCCTCCGTGGCTGGCACTGATCTGACGGATGTGCTCTTCGAGAGGTCTCCCGAGGGTTACTGCCTCGACCCGGTGGAGCTGAACATCACGTCCGAGGGGCCGGCCCCGAGCGAGGAGCCTTGGTCCACCACAGAGAGCAAGTTCAACAGCCTTATCTCCAAACTCTTGCTCCAGATGGGCCTTCCCGAAGAGGTGGCAAATGCCACTGAGGTGTACAGTAACACCACGCAGCCGGACGGACAGACTGAAGGGGTCTCTTCTGGCATGGGGGAAGAAAGAACCAAGGCTGACTCCTCCTCCTTGTACCTCCCAGCACTTTTTACAGTGATTGTTCTGCTGTGCATATAGTCCAAGGGCTGGATGGAGCAGGGGTTCTGCTTAAGCATTTAGACCCTGCACCTACTTAGTCATGAGAGAAAAGTTTTACTGCGAGCCTCCGATACATAATGGGCTCCAAACTCTTCCAGGCTGGGTTTGTTGGATCTGGCTCCAGATTCCCCTGGGAGCTGGTGAAATCTGGGTCCCACTCTGGGTGACAAACCTGCCCTGTGGGTGCCCCAGAGCCTCCTGGATACTCAGAGGGAAATGAGCAGCACTAATACTGAATTTTGCCTAGAGATGTGTGATGTTCGCTGCTGGGAATGGAGGGAAGAGGGCGTTTCTCTGTGGGGTGTTTGTTCCACCAGGCCAACTCGTGAGAGCGAGATGTTCCATGGTGACTCAGCTTCGTGAGAGCGAGATGAGGCCGCAAAACCGGACCCCTCTTCATGTCCTGACAGACACCCACACCCACACCCACGGCAGATGCTGCTGAACAATGGGAAACCATTCCTGATTTCCCCCCTCGGGTGCAGGAGGGAGCAGGGCAGTCCTGGTGACATCCAGGGATGCAGCACTGGGCCTCATGGGAAGGAGGAAAGTGCCTGGAGAGGCACCTGCCCCAGGCAGGTCTGGGATGGGCACAGTATTCTGGCAGTGACCCCCGGCAGGATTTTGATCCTTTCTCCCCCCCCGTTATCCTGGCACCGGTGCGGGAGAACCAGATGGACCCGTGTTTGTCCAAACAGTCCCCTCTGAGGCAAAGCTACTTAAACTTAACCTACTTATTCCCATCATTTCAATGTGTTTATTTTTTCAGTGAATATATTGTTTCAAGGAATACGTTTTTTTTATTTGTAGGTTGTTTCATGGCATGGCAGCAGGGGCAGAGCATGGTGATGACAAATGCAACCAGGCCCTATGAAATATTTTGTATTTCCACCACTAATATGTACCATGTAGTGTGTCATATTATGCCATACTGATAATCTTCTTTTATACAGCATTTTAAGTGTTTTATCTTTGAAATCTTCAATGAAAGCTGCTAATATATCTGCTAATACCAGAAAGAATGATGTTTTATGTATCAAAGCATATTAATAAAATAATTTGATATTTTACTCACAAAAATAAATTAACTGCTCAAACCTAGTTGGTTTTTTTTGAGATCCTTGACCAACTCTGGTGATTTTTTTTTTTTTGTAGGCTGCTCAAATGGGTGCACATGAGTGTCCTTTCATGGCCTAGAGCAAACGACAACCTATTTATTGCAACATAAGTACTTTCACTTAGAACTTGATCATGCTTACGTTTGTGTTAAGCAGCAACACTTGAAAATATAAGTGACTATATAGAAATACACTTCTGTCCAAAAAGATCTACTGCTTTCTAATTAGTGCCAGAGATTTCCAGAGGAAAGCTGAGTACAGGGAAAACCAAGCCTTCCCTGCTGCAATGGCTTCTCAGTTATCTGTAGCTCGACCACAGTTTCCCCAGGGAATCAAAATGCCAGATGGTTTGATAAATGCCTATTTGACCTATTCCGTGAACTAAATTCAATGAGTTAGGATTTCCAGGCTATTTATGAATCCATTAATCTTCTTAAGTGCTAAATTCATCTGTGTATTATAAGAGGCTGTTTTTCAAACCTAGTCCAGCCCAGTGCTGTGGAGGCATATTAGGTTAAGGATGCCTTTACAGGAGCACTATTTCATCCTGTCAGGGGGTTTATCAATAGGGCTGGCACAGATGGTAGGACACAAATGGTTGTATTTCACTTCCTATAAGTACAGATGCCTCATGAGTGAATTGTCTTTATAACCCACATATTCATTTGCCATGTTGGGGCACATTAAAGCTGGAGATTGCCTTACTGTGCAATTGTTGAGTGGCTTTCAAGTCAATTAGTGCTTCGAAGATGCTCCTGCTTTATCTGCAAGATGCAGATCTGAACGTGAAGTGTCTTAAAATGTTGGTTTTAGCAGAGATTGTGCTGTCAGGTGATGGACAAGAGGGCTGTACACTGTACTCAGCTGTGTGACAACAGGGACACTGACCTTGGGCATTGATGCTTTAAGTGTCTCTTGTGGTCAGAAAGCTCCCTGGCCCAGGAAGATTTCCCTGTGCTGCTCTAACACAGCCGTGGCTGTCTGGAAAGCATGTGGCTGACATCGTGCTGGGAATAATGGGCTTTCATCTTCCCTGCAGGAATGGGGACACACTCCCTGCTCTCCTGCTCTGAAATCCTGCTCTTCCCTCTGAGCTGAGAGATCAGCAATGTGTGTTTCCAGTGGCACAGAGCAGCTGGCACATGGGCACTCCGAGTGGATTGGGAAAGGTCTGTGAGTCTGTGATTGCTCTTGCTTTGCTCCTCTACTCTGTGTTGCTCATTCCTTGAGGAGACATGAGAACTGCCTGCTTCATTCTTTCATGATTCTTGCTTCTAAACTCTTAGCAAATGGCTTGTTTCTCTGATTGCATGGGCAGGTGACAACTCAAAATTACATTTTTTTGAAAAAATAGTTGGGTTCTTTATTTTTTTAGACCAGACTCTCGCTGCAAAATTGTGCTTCAGCTGGTAAACCTGAACCAGTTGTTGGTTACAAGTCCATGGCTCAGAGTCTCTTTACATATCAATGCTGTTTTCAAAATCTGTCTCTGGACTGGGACAGCTCCAAAGATGCCAAACCTTTGTCTGTTTGGAATAACTGCAAATATTTTTCAGCAAAGTGGTTCTCCCAGCGCTGCTCTCAGCATGAGGTGCTGAGATTTCGTTTGAAGCTGTGGGAAGGGATGGTCTTGAGCTGCCTGGAGTTTGGATACACCTTCTGACTGAAGTTTATTCAGTTTATTCAGAGTCTGGTGTTCCCAGACTGAAGCACCTGAGGTCCTGGGAGAAGATAATTTGTTTTAATATGTGGTACTTGGGGACACTGCACTGCTCTTCACTGGTGCATGTTTTCATGCTTTTCAAGAGTTACTATTGGAGCAGTGGGGAGAAGTTGCCAATGTAAATAGAAGAAAGAAACAATCTGATTTTGGATATAACCTCTGAGTCTCAGAATTCTATTGCTACGTTGCACCCCTAGGATCATACTCAGTGTTTTAACATTAACACCTTTATGTCCCCTTTATTTTCTTTAAATTTGCAGCTATTGCCAGTATCCCCCTGTGAATCTGGCTGTTTTGCTTCTCTTATGGATTATCAGATGCTGTCTGAGACTGACAGCTGCTGGCCAGCCAAGACTCAGGCACTTCATGGCCAGTTTTCAAGGGTGTTGTATTTTGGCTAATTCTTATCTTCACAATATCTGGCTGATAGCTTTTTTAAAAAAAATTAAATTTTAATTTTTTGGGTTTTCCTTTGATAATTTTTGTGGTGACAAATTCAAGAGGAACCAAATCAATTGAGTTAAATTCCAGAAAACTGGTGTGCCTGCTCTGGAGGATATTAAACCTTGCAAGAAATAGCCTGTCATGGTCACTCCTGCTCCAGTGTGAGTTTCAGAAGACAGGGCTAGTTTGGGTGAGAAAACAGTGCTTGTAAATGCCTGCTTTTGCAGAGTCAAGGTATGGGATTGTTGCAGAAACACTAAAAATATTGGTCCTGCCTCTTCCCCCACCCAAATCTGATAGAGACTGGTAGAGTTTGAAGAATCTGCTGCAGTAATCTTCAAAGTAGTTTTAAAAGAACTTTATAGAAAATGATAACTATGGAATAAAGACCAGAAATTATCTTTAAAAAAAAGGTATAACAAATTTTACTTCAAAGAAAAACATACAGCTAATATTTAAAACATAAACCAAAATATGTGCAAGATCAGCAGCAAAGTTTCATTTCTCATGGGGCAAGGCTGCTATTTTAAACTTCAATATAAAGATGAATGCAGAAAATAGATATTTCTGGACAGAGAATTATCTATGCCTCTCACCCAAAGCCTGATTTTGTTGACTCTCCTGTGGTTAGTTGAGCCAGTTTGATTTTGTACTCTGTGGTTAGTTTTAGCCTTGAATGGGAGAAGTTAATTTCTTCTGCAGTTCTTCTCGACTTTGACCTTCACCACATCCTTTGATTTTTGTTGTACTTCCTTCTTAATCTGTCTTTTATAGGACTGTTTTAGAGTTAATTCTTAACTTGCAAGTCATAAATCTTATATTCTCAATTAAAATTATCAAGGCATTTCAAAAAGACTTAAAACTACCATTAGTTTTTCTGTACACACCTGATGGTTTACTCTTCATGCATGTTCTATGTATTTGCTGTTTGGATTAACAGCTGATTTCACTTTGTGCTTGTTCAGTGGGTTTTCACCTGTGTCAGGAGCTTCTTGATGTGGCTGGAGGTTTGCAATGAGGCTTAAGGCATCCTTGTTCTGCCTCCCCTGTATTCCACACCCCCCTTTTCCACTCCTCCTCTCCTCACCTGCTTGTTTCTGCTCCAAGCCAGGACTTGCCTGTGCCCTCACTGTGCTGCTCCAGCAGGGCCAGCTGTGATTGAAACTGCACCACTGCAATGCTCCAGTTAAAACCAACACTCAACCCTTCGCTCCGTCTTTGATGTTTAGGTTCCCTGTTATTTCCCCTAATATTTTGGAAGTTGTGTTTGGCCATAAGTGGGTTAAACTGGGGATAATGGGAATAAAATGCTACTGTTATATCTGGGAGGGGGACAAACTAAATGGGGAAGATGGTGCTTAACTGCTGCTCAGTTTGCTTAGACTGAGGGCAGACTCACAGGCACAAGGATATTGGGAAGAGGCCCAGGGAGTTCTTGGGCTTTGTGAGGGCAGATCAGGCACAAGCAAGGAAGCACCAAGCCCCTGGAGAGATGAGGATGTGCTGGACTCACAACAAACATTGGCATGCAGGCAGGTGCAAAAATATATGTAAAAAGACATGTGGTTTTACTTGTGGGCTTTTGATGATGAGAACAAGGCAGAGTGCACAGTGCCAGGGTGGGCAAATGTGATAAATCAGTAACAAAGGACAACCAGCTGTGCACACGTAAATTGGGATGGAATTGGCAGCAGCAATTCCTCAGTGCTGAATGATTATGCCTCAGTGTGCTGTGACAATAAGAAATACATCAGACTCTAAGTGAACAGGCACTTTCCTGATGTATGAGACTGGTAAAGAGCCAGAGGGCAAAGAAATAAATGATAAACTTGCAATCAGAGCTGTTTGAAAATATCTGTGCAGAAACTGACAATTGATTATTTCAGTAGTCAAAAAGTAGCAGTGAATTTGCAGATGCAGAATTTTTTAGTCCAGCAAAGCTTAAAGGAGGTGTTGATGAATTCCAAATCACTTGAAAGTCAGGTAATTTGGAGCAATAGGATTGATAAAATAGATGTTGGTATATGCAAGGTAATATATATAGAAGGACACAACTTGAACTGTTCACAGGCACAGCTGAGTCTTTTAGGGAAAGGAAGACCTGGGAATTGCTGTGAAGAGCCAGGAGATCAACTAGCATAAACAAAAAAAATACACTGTAAGTAACAGAGGCTGGAATAGGAAAACCAGCATATAATGTCATGGGTTATTATACCTTTACCAGTGCATCCTGATCTGGAAAATGTGCAGTTTATGTCTTGCCACATCAGAAAGCACATCAGTGATAAAGTTGGTGGCAGAAATAAATGAGTCATGGAACTAAGACTTCTCATTAACCAGGAGTGAAAAGATGGTTTTGTTTAGGAGAGACCTAGATGCTGGTGAGTGCTGTGGGAGCTGTGAAGATCCCTTTGTTCAAAGCACCTGTGAGCAAG